CCTCCCCCCTCCCCCATCCAAATCATCTTCCCCACCAGCCCATCTTATAACCCCTCTTTTTCTCTCGATCTCTCTCTTATAATGAATTCACTCTAGAATGAACAAAGTATAGTAAAAGCGTCTAAGTAAAAATTTGTGCCAACTTTAAGTGAGTGCATATAATATATCGTGACTGCATTCATCAAAATTGCATGTTGATTACAATCATTAGAGTGAATTCACTCTATTTCATTGTATGATAGAGAGAGAATAGGTACAATATGTTGAGCTAGCACATACAACCTATCGTGATTGTATGCTTTGCTACAGTTGCCGGAACTAATGAATACAATACTTAACATTAATTGCTACTGTATTCATGGAATCAATGTTTAATTCACACATCACTACAAATTTGTCTATAATCTCATACAACAAAGAAAATCAACTTTAATGACATGACTTATTAAACGTCAAGTTTGTAAATGAATTATTCTTCTAATATTAGGATGTTGAGAAATTACATGAAAGCAAATGAAGTAAAGTTTGAAAAATGAGAAGTAATGAAATGTAAGATAAATTAGGTAAGGAAAATTAAATTTGAAAAAAAAATAGAAATCAAATTCATATATATCATATATAAAAGAGAATCTTAGGCCCGCCTACGTGGTGCCACCACAAACCAGAATTTCTTTTTTATTTATTTATTTCAAAAACTAACATTCCCCTTTCATGAAAAGTTGTGACATTTATAAAAAGTTATGACTTTTAAGAAAAGTTGCGACTTCAGTGAAGAGTTGCGACTTCAGTGAAGAGTTGTGACTTTTGTGAAAAATTATGACTTTTATGAAAGGTTATGACCTTTCCGAAGGGGTGCAACCTTTCCGATAAGGCACAATAACCATTTGTTCACACTACCATTTGTTGTCTATAAATAGAGGGATTTCCTCTCATTTTAAAACAACAAAAATTCTTTCCGATAAGGCACAATAACCATTTGTTCACACTACCATTTGTTGTCTATAAATAGAGGGATTTCCTCTCATTTTAAAACAACAAAAATTCTTTCCGATAAGGCACAATAACCATTTGTTCACACTACTCCTCATGATCTTCTTCTTCTTCTTCTTCTTCTTCTTCTTTACTTTACTCCTGTTGAGTGGATCACTGACACCATTGCTTATGTTACAGATCTCGGTATGTATTTTTACAGTCATTAATTTATGTTTATGTTATTGAGGATAAATGATAAGATGTAATAATTTGCATTTCCTTTACATTAGTAATGTTTGTTACTATGTAATCTTGTATATAAGATAATATAGTGTTTTAGTTTTAATGACGGATAGGTTTTAAGTATTATTTTATAAATTTCGTGATATTAAATTCCCGCGCGATAATTTAACTAGTAAAAGATAAATTAAAAAGAATATAAATTTAAAGTATCCTATAGTCTTTTTTTTAAAGTACCCTATAGTCAATTTTGTTTATAAATAATACTAAATACGTCCTGTAGTTTGTAACATAAGTTAATTGTAAATATATATTCCCGCATATTTTTAAAATTAAAAGTCTTTATGTTTTTTAATATTTTGGCAAGAAAAAGTGGGATTCCTAGTTAAATAGGAATAGGAAACCAAATTAAAATAGTTTTTTTTTTATAGGTTTTGTTGCTGTATTATAAATACGTATATGGGGAGAATTTCGTAGCCACATCTGAGGGACTTACGGGACGTATCAAGAATTTCAAAGTTAGGTAAATTTGATACGAAAAATAATTTCAAGGATTGATACCATATCTGAGAAGCATAGGGAATTGAGATAGATGAAGAAGAACAACTTCAGCCATCTCTTTTCAATTCCTATCCTCCTCAGATCTGATTTCAATTCATTGAATTAACGTTCTACAACTTAGCTTTTTTGTTCAATTTGGCGGCATCAACTTAGCTTGTACCAATCGATTAGGTTTTCCTGTATATATGATTTGCTTGGGAGAAAAGAAATATTTTCAATGTTTGAAGCCCTATCTGAGCGGCATAAGGGATTCAGATACGATTTTATTCATTCTACAACAAAGATCCTCAGATACGATCTGACTCATTGAATTAACGTTCTACAACAAAGCAACAACAAGTATGATCTTCTCTATATTCTTGTTTCATGTTGTATGTCATGATCTTGTTTATATTCTTGTTTCATGCTATATCGACATACGTACATATTTGTTAAATTCAATTGTGTCATCGTGTTTATAATAATCTTTACAACTATCTTGAAAATCTTTACCCCTTTTTGTTCAATTTGACGGTATCAACTTAGATTGTACCAATCGATTAGGTTTTCCTGTATATATGATTTGCTTGGGAGAAAAGAAAGGGCTCACAGCATTATAATCGACTTCTGATCAAATCTTGACAAGTTCTTGATTTTAACAATTCTTTTTCTTGCGTAAAGATGATAAGTAAAAGATTAGTTATCGTCAGGCACACATTTGTTGATTGATGTACATATAAAAGATATGCAAGAATGAGAAACATCAGATAGAGATCTAAGCATTCATCCAAACAAACAAGTCACTCTGTACATGTGTGTGCCATCATTCAAGCACTAGGAAAAGTCATGAATTTATCTAATCTACGAATTTAGATGTGAGCAACTGTGCCGAACTTCTCCTTCGGATCCAGTAAGAACACCAAAATTGGACAGTTTACCCATGGCATGAGCAAACTCTGTCCTAAATATGATCCCATCATCAATAGCGTAATCTGTCACTGCTGCAGCAGTCTTTTCATTAGCCATCAACTGTTGATCAGCAAACAGCAGCCCCCTTCCTCTCATCAAGGTCTTGTAGTAGTGATTATCTAATGAAGTCGCAATTGATACACTCAGACCCCTAGCTGTATCTGTATGTTCATCATTCAACATATTGCTGATGGTGTTGTTGTCGTCTGGACACTTCCGCCTCAACTCTTCAAGAAGTCGGGAGGAATTGTTGGATCAGGTAACCTGTACCCGTGAAATTACTGAGCTGGGGCCGAATAAATTGACAGCCAATCCTCCCAATATTATGTGCTACCTTCAAAATAGATAAAACAACAAAAATAATAGAATTTCAGAATATGTATATTCCAAAAAAGGTGCAGTGAATGAAGATTAAAGTAGCGGGATTAGAAAGATTACCAAGGAGGGCCACTGTTTCCCTCTCATCAAATCCTCTGAGCGAAAATAGTCTAAGAGTTTCAATGATATTCCCATTTGGTTGTGGAATTTCAGCCATCGCCTTATCAAAGAATGACTCCTTACTGTCCCTTCTGCCTGTAAGCACAGGATAATATGGTCCACCAGCCTAAAAAATGTAGGAAATCAGCATGTGAGAACGAAGGTGGAATATTAAAGAGTAGGAAATCAGCATGACAAAAAAGCCAATTTGGTTCGAAAAGCTACATGGTCCCATTATATGCACAGTTTATGAATAATCCCATATTTTCAGAACTGGGTTGTTAACATATGATACCACTGAAAGGTGCAAAATGTTCTGTTATGTAAATATACACTACAAGATTGTTGAACTAAACTATTTTAAGAAGGACAGTATAAATGCTAGTGTATGAGTTGCATCTATTTCACTAGCTAGCCAGATTCTATTCTCTTAATTACTTCTTGAACAAGGAACACTGAGACAGAACCATGTAAAATAGAAAGTACTAAGAGCAAGAAAAAAGATATCAGCAAATGAACTTAAGATGCTGGACAGTAAGAAATAAAGGATATGGCCAAATTCATACCAAAACTATGCCATCTCTTGTTGCCAGGACAAGGATATCAGAACAAGAGACAACCCCAGGGCATTCCTCCTCAATTTCATCCTTTATCGTGTCAATGAAGTTGAAGCCTTTCAGCGTCCTGTTTGGGATGGCCTCACGTTCAACAGTCCCATTCTCATTTCTATCAGCTAGTAGAACGGATGCATCACAACCCTGAAAATCAATAGGATAGATAATTCATTCTCTGGAAACTCTACCTTATCAAAAAAAGAAAAACCATTCTATGTCTAATATCATTTCTGACTTCCTTATGACTCTAATAGATCACCTCTGCCTTTTAGAAGTAATCACATCCCACCCTCTTTCTATTATCAAAGGAAATCCGGGAAAAGGAGTGTGGATGCATACACAGATGGATATAACTACAGGTAAATATACATAGAAAAAATTACAGAAAATCAACAAGCAGAGACATAAGTGATGCTCTGGTGAAACAAGCGAGAATAGCAATAAATGTGTTTATCTGTGTCCCCAAACTCAAAGCCGAGAAAACTGGATCAGCTAAAACTAGGGGTGTGTATTGGTCAGTTCGGTTTATCGGTTTTCGGTTTTTAAATATGCTAAACCGATAACCAAACCAATAAGATATTTGTTATCGGTTTTCGGTTTATCGGTTTTAGGTCTTTAACGGTTCGGTTTTCGGTTTAACCAATAAGAAAATGCTTTCAAAACAAATATATGACTTATCCAATAATTTGACGCGATATGCATACATCGAAATAATCATTCCAAACGGGACAACAAGGACCAACTTGTTGTATTTTGGTCATCACAACAAAGACTTGGTTAATTTTTAATTACTTATTACCAGGGGTGTGCATCGGTCGGTTCAGTTAGGTTTTAAGTATTATCGGTTCAGTTTATCGGTTTTCGGTTTTCAAATATGCTAAACCGATAACCAAACCAATACGATATTTGTTATCGATTTTCTGTTTATCGGTTTTAGGTCTTTAACGGTTCGGTTTTCGGTTTAACCAATAAGAAAATGCTTTCAAAACAAATATATGACTTATCCAATAATTTGACGCGATATGCATACATCGAAATAATCATTCCAAACGGGACAACAAGGACCAACTTGTTGTATTTTGGTCATCACAACAAAGACTTAGTTAATTTTCGATCACCATAATATATAAAACGAGGTCACATTTATGCAATAAAGAGAATCAAATAAAACCAATTTCATAGACAAAAGTCAAAACAGTAGCAAATGAGGCCATGCTTATGGTAACTAAATGAAGTTCTTACGTTATTT